TATCCCTGGAATCTTAGAATGAATCCTCTTCAGAATGGCTGTATAGGCTGTGTGGATTAGATGAGGTGGGTGGGGCTATAGACTAGGGATTGGCAGGTTTTCATAAGGGGCTGGTGGCTCATCCCTGTAATCCTAGCTACTCCAGAGGCTAAAATTTGAGGATGTACAGGGGCAGGAAAGTCTGTGAGACTTTTATCTCCAAATAATAAAAAGTCACATGTGGATTTGTGGTTCAAGTAGTAGAGTACTAACCTTGTGCAAAGAAGTTCAGGGACAAGTGCCTAGGCCCTGAGTTCAAGCCCCAGGATCAGCAGGTGTGTACGTGCATGCACATGCACATGCACATGCATGTATGTGTGTGCACAACTTTCCCCTCCCCCCAGGAGCTATTTCTGCGAGAACAGTCTTTATTTGGTTAGCACGCTGTTTAAGATGTTAAAACTATAAAAATTCAACAAACAACATGAATATACTTTCACTAGTATAGTGCATAAGTTTACGATTCTCACATCTTTAGCAATATTATAAAATTACTTGACTTTTGGATTTGCTATCTATATAACAAATAGTAAGTATTTATAATGTGCTGAGTGCTCTTCTATATCTTGGGCACCAAACCAAACTGTAAACAGAAAGGACACAAGTGGTTCTTTTCTTCTTTGCTATTGTTTCTAACGTATTTATAAGGTACCATGTGATTTTTTTGTTGCTTTCTATGTCCCTCCCTCATAGTATAACCCCTGTTTTCACTGTATTTGATGTTGGTATAATTTGGGGAGGGGAAGGGAAGGGAAGGGAAAAAACAAAATGTTTAGATAGGGTTACAGATTAACCCATTGCTACAATGAGATGTACAAGACACTATGTCAAAAAAATGAACTTTACAGTTTAGGCAGGGAGAGGGTATGGTGGTGGTATGTAGCTGAGGAGGGGGGAGGGAAGGGATGGGAGGGGAAAAACAAAGGAGGAGGCAACAATGCTGGATAAGAAATGGACTCATTAACTTGCTCATGTAACTGTAACCCCTCTGTACAGTATTTTCACAATAAAAAACATATTAAAAAACTCTTGCCCCCAGGGAGCTTACATTTTTAGAAATAGGGAAGTCTATATGAAGAAAACTATAAAACTTGAAACAACTTTTCTGTCTTTTTAATGATTCAAGCTTGGTCCTTATGTTTGGTAGCTAAGTAAGTGCTTGACCACTGAGCTATACTTACAAGCCTCTACAAAATTTCAGAAAGACATAAGAATTAAAGGAAAAACCACAACAAAAACAATGCCTCTTAGGAAGATGACCATTGTCATCAACTCATTCAGTTTAGTACAGAATCACAAGGTTTTATTTCGGGGCGGGGGAGGAGAAACAGGGAAGACAATTGGATAAAATGTTATTAATGTATCAACTATGAGCATGTTGAAAAAGATGAGGCTATTTGTTCTACCAGAAATTAAATATGCTATAAAACATACTATAAAACACAGTAAGTAATAGACAGGAAGAAGCAAACTAGCTTATATATAAATAGGCCTAGAGTCATCCCTTGATAAATCACCGTGCACTTATGGCGGCTGATGAAGACCCTGATGAAGTGGTGCCTTCACAAAAGTTGTAATGCTCTTCTTAGCTGTGCAGTACATTCCTCTCATCAGCATCACCTTCATCACCATCCGTACTGCACAGCTATGCAATTCATGATCTTCATCCGTCAAGTTATAGTATACTTCACTAGTGAGTACCCACATAGAATTTTATGTTGTTAAAATTATATAGGTTTAAGAGTGTGGAAAGAGGGCTGGGAGGTTGGCTCAGTGGTAGAGTGCTTGCCTTGCATGCATGAGGCCCTGGGTTCGATACCTCAGCACTGCATAAGCAGAAAAAAGCTGGAAGTGGCTCTGTGGCTCAAGTGGTAGAGCGCTCGCCTTGAGCTGAAGAGCTGAGGGACAGCGCTCAGGTTCAGAGTTCAAGCCCCACAACTGACAAAAAAAAAAAAGAGTGTAGTTTAAGAGCATATAAAATGTTAATGAGTGCGGGAAAGGTTAATAGAGTGGGAAAGGTTTATAGGAGAGAGGGAAGGGTTTATAAAGTCTTAAAAATATATAAATAGTAAGATAAATATAATGCTACTTTGTGGATTTTTACCTATCACAGGGGTGGGAGGCTGGGGGTGGGGGGAGGTACTGTGAAATGTAACTTCCAGGATGGGTGAGGGATCACTGTACATAAGCAATCATTATTTACATAGCCATATATGACATTATATAGTTATATAAAATATAGAACTGTATTAGTTATGGAACTTATAGTGTTTATAGTTACTTAACATAAATATGTGTTGTTTCCTAATATAGTTCACAGAATTTATATTGTATTAGGAAAAACAAAAAAAACCTTTTTTTAGTTTAATTTTGTATTTTCTCTTTTAATTATTCTATGACATAGACACACTTTCTTCCTTATTAACTTGCATTTGTTCATGGACTAAAACAAAATTTTTGACTAGACCATGATTTTTTGCATATGATTTCAATAGAGTGCTCTTCATGGACCCAAGTGTCATTGAAAGTTAGACACAAGCTGGGTGCAGGTGGCTCACACCTGTAATCTTAGCTACTTAGTAGGCTGAGATCTGAGGATCACAGTTCAAAGCCAGCCCCAGCAGTCTGTGAGAATTTTTTATCTACAATTAATCACACACACGCACACACACACACGGTAGAAATGGTACAGTAGAGCAGTAGCTTTGAACTGAAAAAGCTCAGGAACATTGCCCAAGCCCTGAGTTCAAGCCAAGGATGACAAACTCCATAGTAGTCATAGGAGAGGGACCAGAGACTTCTGGGTTTAGGTTTTGTGTGTGTGTTGCACATGTGTACCAGTACTAGGGCTTGAATTCAAGAGTCTCACATTGTCACCTGGCTTTTCACACAAAGCTGGTGCTCTACCACTTGAGCAACACTGCTACTTCTGGCTTTTGCTGGTTAATTGGAAGACAGTCTCATGGACTTTTCTGCTTGGCTGGATTCAAATCTCTATCCTGATTTCAGTCCCTTGAGTAGCTAGGATTACAGGGATGTGCCAACAGTGCTCAACTAGTTTTATTTATTTTTACTATTTGGATTTTTGTAATAAAAACATATTCCCTTTATAATTTGCCAGCACATGTACAAGCTGTATATATAAAATATAGGCCAGGCATTGGTGGCTCACATGTGTAAACCTCCCCAGGGTGCTAACACTTAGAAGAGAAACTGGGTGCCACTGACTTACACCTTTAATCATACCAGGAGGCTGAGATCTGAGGACAGAGGCTTGAAGCCAGCCCAGGAAGGAAAGTCTGTAAGACTCATCTCTGACTGACCACCAAAAAACCAGGTGGCTCAAGTGGTAGGTTGCCAGCTTTGAGCTAAGGCCCTGAGTTCAAGCCCCAGTACCAGCACAAAAAAGAAAAGACTTGCAGAATAAAGGTCCATATCCAGCCTGGGTAGAATAGACAGAGACTCCATCTGCAGGTAAAGCCCTAGTGGTTACAGTATGCATGTATACACACACAGCTCTGGGACTGATTCCTAGCTCTGCAAATACAATACCTCCACCCAAAGAAAAGTAAAAGTAGAAATCATCTTGGAGCCTGGCGCTGGTGGCTCATGCCTCTAACCCTAGCTTACTCCGGAGGCTGAGTGAGATCTGAGGATTATAGTTTGAAGTCACCCTGGGCAGTAAAGGCTGTGAGACTCATCTCCAATTAACCATCTAAACACTAGAAGTGGAGCTATGGCTCAGAGGTAGAGCACTAGCCTTTGCAAAAAGCTCAGGGACAGCGCCCAGGCCCTGAGTTCAAGCCCCACAACACCCCCCCCCCAAAATCTTGATACCAAATACTTTTGACAAAACCCATATAAATCAAAAGCTGATAGATTCTATGTTTTCAAAGCTGACAGGTTAGGTACTACTTTTATGACTTTATATAAAAATTTTGGTGTTTAACATCAAGTGTTTTCTGGTAATCCTGAAAATTAGATTCAGTTTAAGATTTACCTTGAAGTTAATGAGAAAACTGTAATTGCAAAGATACTGGAGCTAGTTTTAAAAATGTGTCAGAGGGGCGGGGAAGGTGGCTCAGTGGTAGAGTGCTTGCCTTGCATGCCTGAGGCCCTGGGTTCGATTCCTCAGCACCACATAAGCCAAAAAGAAAAAATCTGGAAGTGGCTCTGTGGCTCAAGTGGTAGAGTGCTAGCCTTGAGCTGAAGAGCTGAGGGACAGCATCCAGGCCCAGAGTTCAGGCCCCACAACCGACCAAAAAAAAAAAAAAATGTTCAGAGGCCCAAGGATATATCCCATAGGCCTAAGTTCTTGCTCAGAATGTTCAAGGTCCTAGATTTTCCAGCAGCACTGATAAAAGGGAGAAAAGATAAAGTAGGCAAGTATTACACTTATAATCCATTTAATTGAAGAGTTAAGAACCCACCATGTGGGCTGGGAAGGTGGCTCAGTGGTAGAGCGCTTGCCTTGCATGCCTGAGGCCCTGGGTTCGATTCCTCAGCACCACGTATAAGTAAAAAGAAAAAAGCTGGAAGTGGCGCTGTGGCTCAAGTGGTAGAGTGCTAGCCTTGAGTTGAAGAGCTGAGGGACAGCACCCAGGCCCTGAGTTTAGGCCCCACGACCAGACCCAAAAAAAAAAAAAAAAAAAAGAACCCACCATGTACTTCTCAGTTACATGAGAAATGAGCAACCTCAAACTATTCAATATTCAAGTGCAGTAGCATGTGCCTTCAATCCCAGCTACCAGCATCTGGGAGGCTATGAAAGAAGGACCTTGAGTTTGAGGCCAGCCAAGCATACACAGACCTATCCCAAAACAAGCAAACCAACCTATAAAACACTTTTTCATGAAAAAGTTCAGGCTTTCACTCATAAAAACTCAAGTAATTAAACAAATCTCCAAATACTATGTTGCTAATTGACTCTGGTCAGTATCAAAAGAAAAAAAAATCCAGTATTTCATTTACTTTCATGAAGTTTTTAATAAACTACTGTTTTATTACATATTCACTAGTAATCATAAAAAGACAAATATTTGCTACCAAAATTTAAATACTGTTCAATTTATGAAAAATATCACTTTAAGAATATGCAAAAATAAAGTGAGATATCTACCTCAAATAGATTAAAGTTCTACTTTTTAAGAAATCTTACCAACAATAGGGAAATTTCTAAACTGTTGAATATTGAAAACTTTCACTGAAATTAGAGACCTTACTAATTATTTTAGTTCAAGCCTTTATCTATATAGATTTAAATAAACCTTACAAGGATTTTCCACTACACATAAGGCTGCTAAAAAGATCAAATGACTGGGGAACTGTGAACTGCTGGGTAACAGGGCTATTTCTTTCACCTTTAAATCCCTGATTCCTAGTATGACACTTTAATGCTTAAGTAATGCTTTGTTGCTTTCCACACTGACTGGGGCAAATCAGCATTTCTGCCTTTGGTCCAGTGATTGCTCCATTTTATACTCTGCATTTGAAGTACCCGAGCTGCTCTGGCCTTTGACTATAAATTAAGTAAGGTAAACCAGTATATACACATTTTCTACCTTAACCTGATAGGATTCTCAAGTTCCACTGTCACCAGGGCTGTAAATCTTCTCTGGTCTGATTTTTACTTCTCAGATCACAGTTAATATTTGTGTGTAAAAATAATGCATTTTCAATGCAAGATAAATAGGTTCATATGGGTAAGAGTGGAATAGAGGTCTATTTTTTTCATGTTTTAAAATAACAGATACATAGCATCTTAAATTATTACATAATTAGCAATTTTTAGACATTGAACAATACACTGTATTACAATGCAATGTGATATATGTTTCCATTTAGGAACAAAAAAAATAATTTCACATGAAAAAAGATTTATTTTAATCCACAAAAAATACATTTAGAACAAATCTAAATTTTTAGCATCCAAGTTTTTTGAAGCAAACAGAATCTGTCCAATACATATATAAAAGCCTTTGCAACTACTGATCATCACCACCTCTCTGCCTTAAATTTCTAGCTTTTCCATTTTCTAATTTTCTCTTTTTGAAGACTGGGGCTACTCCATCTGCTGCAAATCCAAGTGAAGTGACTGTTTTCTCTTTAAATACTACTTTGGGTTCCACAACATCAGCTTCTGAAGTTGATACATACTCATTTTCAGTGCTTGGAAGTTCTAAATCTACATCCTCACTGGAATACAAAGCAAAGATAAAATTATTACTTGACAGAATAAATATTCTCATATAATCCATGAGTCATCCAAGCCTCAAGATCATCTTTTTCGTAATAATGGTATAATTAGAAGGTGGTCATTCTGGAACAGTAAACAATGTTAAGTGCTGATTTTATGTTCTAAGATTTTGAACTTAGGCAGGTACAAGTGTAGTCCTCACCACTCAAGAGGCTGTGATCTTCGGATCTTGGTTTGCAGCCAGCCCTGGCAGAGAGCCTGGGTAGACAAATCTAAGAAATTCTTATCTCCAAACTATAGCTGGGAGGCAATGTGGTTCAAGCAGTAGAGTGAGAAAGCTACATAAGAGCGTGAGGCCCTGAGTTCAAGCCTCAGTACAGGCACAGAAAAAAAGCGATTTTGAATTTTTAGTTAGATGGACACGTAAGGAAAAGCCTCATTTGTTCTTTTATTTCTGTTGCACAAATACATACCATCTTAGAAAAAGTGTTTTATATATAAACAGCACAAGTACAAATAAAGAAAAAGAATGTTTAGAAACTGATTTTGCCATGGACTGCCAAGGTTCTGAAGGATCACCTAACATAAAATAGAATCTTGCCAGGCTCATGGCTGTAATCCTAGCTACTCAGGAGGCTGAGATCTGAGGACTGCAGTTTGAAGCCAGCCTGGGTAGAAAAGTTGCCATGAGACTCTTATCTCCAATTAACCACTCAAACACCAGAAAGGGAGCTGTGGCTTAAAGTGGTAGAGTGCTGGCCTTGAGTTAAGGAGCTCAGGGACAGTGCCTAGCCTGAGTTCAAGCTCTGAAACTCCCCTCTCCCGCCCAAAAAAACCTCATGGTGTAGAAGACAACACAGCTGTCTGCTGTACTATACGTAATCTTTCAACCACACACATGGTTCTTTATAAGTAATCTGTGATTGGTCTTAAAACCAGTAGCTGATTAATATGAGCCTATCACAGGATCTTACGCACTTATCAGGGATGGGGAATGTGTGGCCTGCAGGTTGTAAAAGGCCCTCAAAATCATTTGCCACAGGGTGGGACAGACTCTGACTCTTGTATTGACAATTATGTACGGCTTGTGATTGATACTGTAAAAATAGAGAAAAGCTTCCCCATTCTTGCTTAGGCAGGTATGAAAGAGCAGGAAAGCTCATTATACCGTCCATCAATCCCACACAGATTTTTTTTATTGCCAGTTCTGGGGCTTGAACTCAGAGCCTGGGCACTGTCCCTGAGCTTCTTTTTCCTCAAGGCTAGCCACAGTGCCACTTCCAGCTTTTTTTGTTTATGTGGCACTGAGAAATCAAACCCAGGGCTTCCTGACTGCTAGGCAAGCACTCTACCATCAAGCCACATTCCCAACCCCTCTCACACAGATTTTTTGAAGAGAGCATAATTATCAATGTGTTTCATTTTCCTTCAGCGACTGAGAATATGTAAACCTATCAGGAACTACATAGCATCAATTTGGAAACAAGTATTTTACAGAAGAAGAGAAGCTGGCATGCAGAAAAAAGCAGATAGAAGATTTGTTTTGAAATAAAATGGTGTCTAGAACTTTTCTTAGTTGTGCTGAAATAAGTATTGTTAATTTTTTGTTTTACATCCCTATTTTCCTTTAGACTGCCAGCAACCCTGTCTTTGTGTGCGTGTGTGTTTATCCTGGTATTGGGGCTTGAATTCAGGACCTTGAGGTCTTACTTGGCTTTTTCTGCTTAACACTTGAACCACACTTCTTTCCAACTTTTTGGTGATTTACTTAAGTGTCACGTGGAATTTTCTGCTTGAGCTGGCTTCAAACCAAGTTTCTCAGATCTCAGTCTCTTGGGTAGCTAGGATCACAGGAGTAAGCCTGGCTCGTGTCTGGCAATGCTGCTTTTGTTTTGGTGGTTATAGGACTGAACGCGGAGACTTTGTTTTCTAGGCAGGTGTACTAGCACTTGAGCCACATTCCCTGTCCTTTTGCATTTTTTTTTTTGCCTTGGCAAGCCTAGATCATAATGCTCCTACTTATGGCTCTATACTCTATATAGTTGAGAAGTGTGAGCCACCAGGCTTGCTTTCTCCCACCTCCTTTGTGGGACAGTTTTTTTTTTGGTCAGTCATGGGACTTGAGATCTGGGCCTGGGCGCTGTCCCTGCGCTTTTCAGCTCAAGGTGAGTGTTCTACCGCTTGAGCCACAGTGCCACATCCGGTTTTCTAGTGGTTTATTGAAGATAAGAGTCTCACGGACTTTGCTGCCTTGGCTGGTTTTGAACCGCGATCCTCAGATCTCAGCGTCCTGAGTAGCTAGGATTACAGGCGTGAGCCACCAGTGCCCCGGCTTATGGGACAGTTTTATATATACCACAGGCTCATCTGGAACTCAAGATTCTCCTTCCCCAGCTTCCAATATACTTTTGTTTGGTGCTGGTTCTGGGACTTGAACTCAGGGCTTAGGCGCTGCCTCTTAGCTTCTTTTGCTCAAGGCCAGGACTCTTACCACTTGAACCACAGCTCCATTTCTGGCTTTGTGGTTGTTAATTGGCGGTAAGGGTTTCAGGACTTTCCTGCCCTGCCTGGCTTTAAATGTGATCCTTATATCTCAGCTTCCTGAGAGCTAGGGTTACAGGTGTGAGCAAGTCACTGGCACTCAGCTGACAAGATACTTTTTTTCTAAATTTGGTAGTAATTAAAAGCTCGGAAGTAATTAATACTGGGAGTAAGTGTTCAATGAGATAGTAACTTTTATAAACTGGTGATGGAAACTCAGGTGACATGTTTTCTGGAAAGTAATCAGGTACTGTTATATAAGATCTTAAGCCTGGCACAGAGGCACACATTTAAAATCCTAGCACTTGGGAGTGGTAGAGGACTACTCTAGTCTACAAAGTGAGGCTATGTCTCAAAAATAAACAAAAGAAAATAAAGCCAGAAACCAGAAAATGATTTTGCTAGTTAACTGGATATAATAGTCTAATGGATTTGCCTGCTTGGGCTGGTTCTAAAATGTGATCTTCAAATCTCAAGACGCTTGAGTAACTAGGATTACAGTGTAAGCTACTGGCACCCTATAACATGTTGTTCCCAGCAATGTTACTTAATACCTAAAGAATCCCAATTAGACTAGGACATAGACTGTCATTACTCTCATCCAAGTTCTTTTTAGTACTTAGTTTCCATATAAGGTGCATTTTGGGTGATGTGGATAGACTAATATTAGTATTACTCTATGTCATGAAAAAATAAGTCCTTTTTTTTTGGTTGGTCATGGGGCCTGAACTTTGGGCCTGGGTGCTGTCCCTCAGCTATTCAGCTCAAGGCTAGCACTCTACCACTTGAGCCACAGCACCACGTCTGGCTTTTTCTGTTTATGTGGTGCTGAGGAATCGAACCCAGGGCCTCATGCATGTGAGGCAAGCACTCTACCAGTGAGCTACCTTCCCAGCCCTCTCCTTTTCTTTTTCTTTTTTTTTTGGTCGGTTGTGGGGCTTGAACTCTGGGCCTGGGCGCTGTCCCTCAGCTCTTCAGCTCAAGGCGAGCGCTCTACCACTTGAGCTACAGCGCCACTTCCAGTTTTCTGGCGGTTTATTGGAGATAGGAGTCTCATGGTCTCTCCTGCCCGGGCTGGCTTTGAACCGCGATCCTCAGATCTCAGCCTCCTGAGTAGCTAGGATTACAGGCGTGAGCCACCAGCGCCCGGCTCCTCTCCTTTTCTTTAATGAACAGTATTAATAAGTAATTTGCTGTAAAAACATACACAAAACAAGCATCTTATAAAGAAACATGGAGCTGGGTGCTGGTGGCTCATGCCTATAATCCTCATTACCAGAAGTGGTGCTGTGGCTCAAAATGGTCTAAGTGCTAGCATTGAGCAAAAGAACTTGGGGACAGTGCCCAGGTCCCAAGTTCAAACGCCATGACCACCATGACCACCACCACCACCACCACCACCACCAACAACAACAAAAAGAAACATGGAGATGTAAAACCTGGGGTGTCTTCTTACTTTCATGGTATAAATGTTCCTAAGAATTAAATTGAACAAATAAATAATATAAACCAGGTTACATTATTATCATGACTTTAACTGCTAACAAACTTGTGTTGGGTATTGGCTTAAAAACTCTGAAGTGTAGAAAGCCATTTTCAAGAGAACAATGCTAAAGCATTTAAATATGCACGTTTCTGAGAATAATGAGGTTTGAGAACATAAAAATCTGACTATGTGTTGTTATCAGAAGTATGTTTTGGCAATGAAACATGTTTCAAGAAGGGAGGAGGGAGTAAGTTTTAAGAAGGGAGGAGGGAGTAAGAAAGAGGAATTGAGGAATTTAATTGAAATATCTTTGTAAATATTTGGAAATGTCACGATGAAACCCTTCTCATGTACAACTATATACTAGTTAAAAAAAAAAAGTGTAATGTTTTGGTAGGAACTGGAGCTTAGTTTTACTACTGCCTTACATCTTAAAATATTTAGTTAGAAAAAATAAAAAAATTCTAGAACTAAAAGAATGAACTATATTTTAGTTAGTGCCAGTAGTGAGGCTTGATCTCAAGGCCTACCTGCTGTCTCTTAGCTTTTTTGTTCAAGGCTGGTGCTTTACCACTTCAGCCACGGCTCCACTTTTGACCTTTTGGCAGTTAACTGGAAATAAAGAGTTTCATGGACTTTCTTGCCCAGGTTGGCTCTGCGCCTTCTCAGATCTCAGCTTCTTGCGTAGTTATGATTACAGGCCTGAGCCACTGGCTTGTGAGCGCTACTTCTTTTTTTTTTGGGGTCCGGTTGTGGGGCCTGAACTCTGGGCCTGGGCGCTGTCCCTCAGCTCTTTATCTCAAGGTTAGCACTCTACCACTTGAGCCACAGCGCCACTTCCAGCTTTTTTCTTTTTGCTTATGTGGTGCTGAGGAATCGAACCCAGGGCCTCATGCATGCAAGGCAAGCGCTCTACCACTGAGCCACCTTCCCAGCCCTGTGAGCTCTACTTCTAATGGAATTACAGAATTACTGAAATGTATAATACTTGTCATAAGAGTGATATTGAAATTTCAGGTACTTACTGAGATTCAACCTCTTGTTTGATTTCTTGCCATTCTCCATATGGGTTTGTTTTTTTAAGAGGTTTGGATTTTTCTTCCTTTGGACTTGAATTCTGTTTTTGAGTAGGTTTTTCTTTCTTTGATTCTGGCTCTGTTCTTTTGTTACTGTTTTTATTTTTTTCCTAAAATGTAAAAGCCAATAAATAACACTTGATAAAAACAAACATCTTCCTTTTTTTGGTGCTAGTGGCTTGAACTCAAGATCTCAAGCTCTTGCTTAGCTTTCTTGCTCAAGGCTAACACTTGACTACCTGAGCCTCACCTCCATTTCTATCTTTCTAGTTCTGCCCAGGCTGGTTTCAAATTGCGATCTTCAGACTTCAGCCTCCTGAGTAGGTAGGATTACAGGAGTTGAGTTACCAATATCTGATACAAACTTTTTTAGGTTCTTGGAAATGTTTTGTTACAGATTTATAAATGATACATTAAAAGTTTACATTTATAATAACAATAAATGTACACAGACAAACTTAGGTCTTAAGTTTAAATTTTTATTCATTTTCATTTATTCATCCATTCATTTTGTGCTGGTCCTCTGGGGCTTGAACTCAGGGCTAGGGCAATGTCCTTGAGCTTTATTGCTCAAGGCTATCACTTTACCACTTGAGCTGCAGTTCAACATCTGGTGTTTTGGTGGTTAGAGAAAAGTCTCATGGACTCTCCTGCTTGGACTGACTGAACCATGATCTTCAGAGCTCAGTCTCTGAGTAGTTAAGACTATAGGCATGAGCCACCAACATCTGGCTTCCACTTCTTTGTAAAGAGGCTGAACAGATATAAGTCACTAGTACCTGGCCCATGACTTTCTCTCTCTCTCTTTTTTAATCGTCAAAGTGATTTATAGAGGGGTTACAGTTACGTAAGGTAAAAAGTACATTTCTTGTCAAACTTGTTACCCCTTCCCTCATTTTCCTCCTACTTTCCCTCCTGCCCCTTAATAAAACATTTTTGCAGAGGTTCAATAGGTTATAATACTTTATACTTTCGATTCATATGCAATGATGATCCCTTCCTCTGGGGATCACATCACACTTTCTACACTAACCATTCTTCCTTATATAATCCAAGGCCTCTGGGCACTACTGTTGTCACTGATTACTTTGGCAGCAACTAAGTCACCATCTGTACTTAAATTCCTGTAGTTGTCTAAAAACCTTAAGAATATTCTGATCTCTTTGGTGGCTCCCAACTCTTAATTTCTTTATGAGTGAGAAAACTGAAGCTAAAGGCATGATTGTTTCAATTTTCTTTCGGTCACCAACTTTTGATCATAGCTTCTCACAGAAAATAAATACCTTACCTTCTTATTAAAAAAAAAATCACTTCTAGTTTAAAACCTATGTATCTACTCTGATTGATATTCTCTTTTCCTTCCTTTGAAGTCCTTCTCAAGGGAAAAAAATCTATCATTATGATTCAATACTTGGTCACTATCCTATTATATGAATTTTACTTCTTTTTCTCTCTCTTTTTGGTTGTGGCTTTGAACTTGTAATTCTCTTGCTTTAGCTTACCAAGTGATAGCATTACAGATATGCACCACCAAGTCTATAGGTTCTATTTTTCATTTCATGTCCCAGCCATATAACTGCTTTTTACCATCTATAATCAGTTCTGCCACCTAAAAATCTAGAGAAACTTCTAGAAGGGCATGCAAAGACTTCCTGTCAATTGAGTATATATATATTTCCTTTTCTTGAGTTAGCTAATCCTCAAAATACTCTGGGACATTAAAATATTTTGGAGAAGTAGAGTGGCTCAAGTGGTAGAGTGCCAGCCTGGAGCTTAAAAGCCAAGTGAGAGAGTGATGCCCTGAGTTCAAGCCTCACTACTTGCACACATACAAGAAAATGCTGAGTTCTGGTAGCACAGGCTTGTAATCCTACTTGTTCATGAGGCAGAGATCTGATGATCACAGTTCAAAATCAGACTGGTCAGGAAGTCCATGAGATCCTTATCTCTTAAGAAATCACCAAAAAGTTGGAAGTGGACCTGTAGATCAGAGTGGTTGAGCACAAGCCTTGAGTGAAAAAACTGACAGCTATCAGGCTCTTGGTTCAAGCCCCAGTAGTCATACAAAAATACTAATTTTTTTTGTTTGTTTTGCTTTTCTGCAAACTTCCTATCCCTCTTTTCCATTCTACCTTGTGGGTTGCTTTTTTTTCCTGCCTGTTAATTAAAGGTTTAATGTCCCACATGGTTCCCCAAGTTTAATCTCCTAGGCTATGTCACCTCTTCTGAAAACTAAAGTACCACTAGTGGGTAAATGATATGCAAGTTCATATTTCTAGTCCAGATGTGCAGAGTGGCCTTTTGAGACAACTCTGAAATATTAGGGGCTTCTCAAATTTAGGACTCAAGTAGAGACTACAACCATTTACGCAGCTGCCAGAATATAGTACTCTCTGCCTTTTATCTTTGGTGATTGTGTCTCAAGATTCATGGTAGATATCTAAAATCATGAACAGAACTAAACTCTCTGTATATTTTTTATGCATATATTCCTGTTTAACTTATAAAGTAGTCATAGTGCCGAGTTAGGTGACTCATGCCTATAAACATCTTTACCCATGAGGTTGACCTCAGGATTGCAGTTCAAAGCCAGCCTGAGCAGACCAATTTGAGAGATTCTTATGAACAATTAATCAGCAAAAAGCTGGAAGTGGAGCTGTAGCTCAAGTGGTAGAGTGACAGCCATGAGGGAAAAAGCCCAGTGAGACCATGAGACTCCCTATGTTTAAGCTCCAATACTGGCAAAAACAAAACAAACAGTAAAAAACTAATACAAATAACAAGAATAATAAAATATAAAAATTATAAATTATATTTCAAGCTAGGCACCAGTGATTCACACTTGTAATCCTACTCAAGAAGCTGAGACTGTAAAGATCTTGGTTCAAAGCCAGCCCAGGCAGAAAAGTCTGAGAGACTTCATTTCCAAAAGAGCCAGCAGAAGACTAGTGATAGGCATGGTTCAAGTGGAATAATGGCAGCTGTAAACAACAAAGCTGAGTGAGTGAGGTCTCAAGTACTGGCCAAGGGGAAAAAAAAACAAAAAAAAAAAAAACACTTCAACATGATACTCAGAATAGCATAGGATTTAAAACTTATTATTTCTGGAATTTTCCATTCAATATTTTCAGACCTTCTGAATATGAATAACCAAAAACCATAGAAAGCAAAATTGGTAAGTGTGGCAATACAAACTTGTTTAAATTTACTTCTACCTTATTACAGAAGACTGAAGAAGTGCTACCAAGGTTTCTGATAAAACCGATAAACTTACATGAAAAGTAAATCAAGACCCTACCTTAAACGTTATTTTTAGCTTTTCTCTTTCTGTTGGAATCTCTCCTTCTGCCTCTTGTTCTCCAGTGGAGTCACTACGTGAAACTGAAGATTTGGATTTTTCCAGAGAGCCAACTGATTTTTCATCTACTGTACTTTTAGAAGGCACATCACCAACACGTGGAATAAAGTCATCAGGTTTTTCCCATTTGGATTCTGCCCAACATATTTTAATAGTCAGATTATTCAGTTAGTAATTCTACTTAAGAAGTAACTTCTATGCCAGTCATTTGAAATTATTAGTCAATGATATCTCATCTATTTTATACTATTACTTTATTAAAATTAATAAGATTAATAAGATTTTCCAAGTTTCTTAATTTTCTTTCAGAAATGTATTTCAAACATCTTAGATTTACTACTTGTATAAATAATAACTAATGGAAAGACAGATTTGACAACTGGCTGATAATATTCAGGATGTTCATAATTTATCTGACAATAAATTCAGTAAAATTACTGATAATGAGATTTCCTGTAATTCACTTATTCCTGGGATTTTCACAAAGTGAAATTATACTAGAAAGATTTGAATGAATAAGATTTGGCATTTATAGTGGGGGTAAATCTTAGTTGATTGAACTCTACTGCCATCTAGTGTTTCACTGGGCTTTTAGTAAAACCATTTCTAATGTAATTATTCCCTATTTTTAGTTTAGTGAAAATGAGAGATTCCCTTTTTCATTCATTGTTCAACTGAGACAGTTTTAACAGTCTATTTTGAAACAAGCTATTAAACAATTACACTTGTCCAGGCATCAACTGAAATAATTCAAGGTAAATCAGTATGCAGAGCACCTTAATATATGCAGGCACTAATGAAAAATATTATTTTATCTATATTTCACACAAGTTGGGCAGGAGATAAAGTGGTAGAGTATCTGCATATCAGCATAATAGCACTACCAAAAAATATATTAATATAAGTAACAAAAAGTATTTTCAAAATATAATTTATTAAGCCCATACTGTGTACCAGACACTTTTCTGGGAACTTTACTGATAACTAACCCTCAAGACGTACAGACTACATGTAATCATCTCTCTTTCTCTCTTTTTAACTGAAGACAGATTATATATTCTGACTTCACTGGTGAAGAAAAGCTGTAAACTGATTCTAACCCTATTAAATTTTTTGAGTATTTATATACATTCAGCACTTTAGTTTTACTGAGAGAGAACTATAGTTATCATTGGGAAGGATAAGAACCTACATGGAAGTTAAAAGGCCAATTGGAACCACATAGGGAAATATTGTCTCAACATTCTCCCATCCAAAAAAGTAAAAGAAAGTTCAAGGGGGCTGGGAAGGTGGCTCAGTGGTAGAGCACTTGCCTTGCATGCATGAGGCCCTAGGTTCAATTCCTCAGCACCACATGAGCAAAAAGAAAAAAGCCAGAAGTGGCGCTGTGGCTCAAGTGGTAGAGTGCTAGCCTTGAGCTGAAGAGCTGAGGGACAGCGCCCAGGCCCAGAGTTCAGGCCCCACGACCGGACGCAAAAAAAAAAAAAGAAAGTTCAAGGAGCTAGGGATATAGTTCAATGAGAATGTCTATTATGTGTGAGGACCTAGGTTTGAAACCAAAACCAGCAAGTAAGTTTAAGTAATATATAAGGCACCTTTGAATGAAATGATTATATCTCTAAAATTATAAACTAAGTTACTGCTGGGAGCTAGTGGCTCATGCTTATCCTAGCTACTCAGGAGTCTGAGATCTGAAGATGGAGGTTTGAAGCAGCCTGGTCAGGAAAGTCCTTGAGACTAATCTCCAATTAACTACCAGAAAACCAGAAGTGGTGGCTTAAAGTGGTAGAACGCTAGCTTTGAGTGAAAAAGCTCAAGGGTAGTGTCCAGGCCCCAAGTTCAAGCCCCGCGACTGCCAAAAAGAAAACAAAGTTATTTTAGAAAAAGTTAAAGCTGCACTAAAAAAGTATTTAACGTGTTTTATTGAATGTAGCACTAAATTGCATGTGGAAATCATTTTTACTTTTCTATTCTTTTTGTTGTTGTTGTTGTTGGTTGTGGGGCTTGAACTCTGGGCCTGGGCACTGTCCCTTAGCTCTTCAGCTCTACCTCTTGAGCCACAGTGCCACTTCCAGTTTTTTGAGTGGTTTATTGGAGATAAGTCTCATGGACTTTCCTACATGGGTTGGCTTTGAACCGAGATTCTCAGATCTCAGCCTCTTGAGTAGCTAGGATTACAGGCGTGAGCCACTGGTGCCTGCTTGCTTTTCTACTTTCATCTGTTTTTAAATTACAAAAGAATATATGTTTGCCATGCAAATGTATTTTACAGTGAAGTTCCCAAGTTCAGATGATCATAAGAATGCTACCATGCACTTTCGGTACCATCTGGACAGTTAAGGCAATCAAAAGTAATACTTACCTCCTGTTTCTACATTGTAGTAATAGGTATAACCGTCTTCACTTAAACCTTCTACCCAAATGGACTTTTCTGTTGCCTAATAGAGAAAAAGAAAAGAAAAAACAAAACAAAACCCAGAATTAACTGAAAATAATGAAACTGGCTATACTACATGACTAAGACAGATTTAGCCACTCTTTCTTTTCCATTTGACACCTGGAAATTAGGGGTGGTGACGTGGATCATGGCCAGGCAGCTTGGTTTTTGCAATCATGTGCCAACTTTCAAGTTGAGAATTTACCCCTGAAAGCCAGGAAGTCCATTCAGATGGCGAGGGACATGTGGTAACAAAGGACTGCAAACCAAGTAATAATATTTACCCTGCACAGAATTTCTGGATATAATCACTGTTTCATCTCTGTCCAGACTTTATTATTTTCCTGCCCAGCTTTTTAACAAAAGGATAACAGGAAGAAAGGAATAAAGCTGGGATAGGTAAGGGGACGATGCTCATTTGGAAGAAAAAAAATTTAACAAAATACAGTAAAACCACCACAATTTGAACACTTTAAAGAATAAAGCAAAAACACAAATGTGCTTCAGTTACCTTTTTTAAGTTTCCTTGGAATCCTTCTGGTTTCTCCCACTGAGATGCTTAAAACAAACATTATTGCATTTATGAAATTGTTTTGCTTAAAAGTAAAACTCTAAAAAATTTGTCAAAAATTTATAAGGTAATCATTGTAAACACTATCGATATAAACATTAAAAAAAGCAAAATATACCAGCACAATTATATAGAAGACTATGAGTGCTATGTAATTAATAAGAAATGACATAATAAAGAATCAGAAGTTACTGGAACTTCCATAGACTTATGGAAGTTTTCCAGTAAGGGACAACGTCTGTCTCCCAAAGACTTCACGGAGGGGCTGGAAAGGTGTTTCAGTGGTAGAGCGCTTGTCTTGCATGCATGAGGCCCTGGGTTCGATTCCTCAGCACCACATAAGCAAAAAGAAAAAAGCCAGAAATGGCCCTGTGGCTCAAGTGGTAGAGCGCTAGCCTTCAACTGAAGAGCTGAGGGACAGCGCCCAGGCCCAGAGTTCAGGCTCCATGACCCCCCCCCCCCCCCCCCCCCCGCCACCAAATAAAAAAAAGACTTCACGGAATCTAGGCTTGATGGGGGTGTCTTTTTGTTATCTTGGAGCAAGGGAGAAGGAGAGAAGATGAACAAGGTAAAGTGTTCAGGAATAAAAAGCAAGTTATCGCTGTGGGCAAGCATATATAAAGTAGGACGATGAAAAAGGGAAGCATTAAGAGGGGGAAAGAAGTGGTTTCTTAGAAAAATTTGAAAAAATACATATGCCCAACATATGCTATGGTCATTGTTGAAATCCAATGTGGATTTCACTTAGGACTCTATAAAACAAATTCTGATAAATGAATACATTAGTGCGTGGCCCAGAAATGACTTCAAAGATCAAAATTGCTATTTCAAGTTTTTCCAGGATTAATTTTCTGATTCTCCTGATCTATTTTCCTGACCAGTCTTAATGGTTTACTAGTTTTTCTTCTAGCTAAACCGTTTCCTTTAATATATATACTACTCACCTAGCTTACTTCTTGTTCCGTTTTCTCTATAATCTCAAATGTTGCTGAAGGTTAACATACTGTATCTCTAAATTTAATTTAGCTCCCTAAATCCATTTTCAAATGATTTCTGTAGGTACTTCAAACTGAATTAATTACTTTCCCCCTTAAGTTTTTTTATGGTTCCTATATTTATTTTTCTTTTTCTTTTAGTGCTAGTACTAGAGTTTGAATTCAGAGCCTGGTGCCGTCCCTTAGCTTTTTTTTTTGTTCCAGTTAAGGCATGGGTCCTGTCCTTTAACTTTTTTGCTCAAGGCTGTACTCTAGCTCCTGAATCACAGACTCCATTTCCGGCTTTTTGATGGTTAATTGGAGGTTATGAGTTTCACAGACTTTCCTGCCTAGGCTGACTTGGAACTGGGATCCTCAGATCTCAGCCTCCTTAGCAGCTAGGTTTACAGTATGAGCCACTGATGCTTAGCTGGTTCTTGTATGCATGTCAGCCAATCCCAAGGATTATATATAGGAGCCACTAGCACGTGGCTTTTTTTTTTAAGTGGGGCTTTGTACTTAATAGCATATACTCTGGCCTGGCTTTTCTGCTTACAGGGAGAACTCTACCAGCTGAGCCTCACTGCAGTTGGGCAATGTGCTAGTTAACTGGAAGTAAGAATCTCAGGGATTGGTTTACCTGGGCTGGTTCTGAGCCTTAATCCTCAGAACTCAGCCTACAGAGTAGATAGCATTATAAGCATGAACGATTGCTTTTGGTATGCTGCTATAATTTCTTAATCTACTGAAATATGATTCAATTAAAGTATTAACCAGTGTACGCACTGTGTCAAATGCTACACAGAAATGGTAAGACGGGCTGGGAAGGTGGCTCAGTGGTAGAGTGCTTGCCTTGCATGCATGAGGCCCTGGGTTCGATTCCTCAGCACCACATAAGCAGAAAAAGCCGGAAGTGGGGCTGAGGCTCAGGTGGTAGAGTGCTGGTCTACAGCTGAAGAGCTGGGGGACAGCGCCCAGGCCCAGAGTTCAGGCCCACAATCGACAAAAAAAAAAAAAAAAGGTAAGACATCATTCTTAATGTCCTTGGAGATCAGCTCAAAAGAACTTCCTGTAGGGCTGGAGATTAGGTCAGTGGAAGAGCACTTGCCTAGTAAGTGCAAGGCCATGACAGAGTCCTTAGGGGTGAGGAGGAGTAATTCCTATGATAATCTCTCAGATCTACAAAACCACAATGAGTTCTTCCTTACTTTGAGCCACTACATAATCTTTAGATTTATTTAGTACTTGAGAACTCTTCCTGTATCTAATTTATGTGTTTCTGTCAGTACTATATTTCATATCTCTGGAGAGTAAAATAAAATTTATCATATCTCGAGATATCCCACAATTTATTTATCCCACAATTACATGAATTAAAAATATCACTATCAGTGTTTTTGTTATTGGGTTTTTTTTTTTTTGGGTCCGGTCGTGGGGCCTAAACTCTGGGCCTGGGCGCTGTCCCTCAGCTCTTCAGCTCAAGGCTAGTGCTCTACCACTTGAGCCACAGTGCCACTTCTGGCTTTTTTCTTTTTGCTTATGTGGTGCTGAGGAATTGAACCCACGGCCTCATGCATGCAAGGCAAGTGCTCTACCACCGAGCCACCTTCCCAGCCCCAGGGTTTTGTTTTTTAGTTTTAGCAAAGACTTATTTTAGTAAAACAGTTTAAAGTATGAAGAAATGGAGAGACAAACATTTCCTTCTCTGTCTGCAGGAATTGGGAGTCAAAGACGCCTCAATATTAGTTTTTAAGGAAAACAATGTTTTTTATATTAGTAACTGAAAAATCCCCTTGTGTATTTTATTGGAACTGATATCTGACACTAATATAAAGAACTTCACAAAAAAGAAACCGTTTCTGAGGCTGGTATGGTAGAAAACACTTGAAATTCCAGCACTCATGATGATAACGAGCTTGAGGCTAGCCTGAACAAAAAGCATGAACCTGCTTCAAGAAACCCAAACAAAACAAACAAATAAGATAGGAGGTATGATTCAAATGGCAGTGTTTGCCTAGTAAGCTTGAGGCCCTAAGTTCAAAACTCAGTATTCCAAGAGGAAACAGAAACGATAACAGCAGCAGCAACAATAACAGTCAGTTTCTGGCTCCCAAATTGCTTCTGTACAGATAAATCTTTCACAGAGCACTTTATTTCAAAAACACTTATAATATCTCAGGAAGTGTTGGAAAATCTTATTTCAAATTGGGTTTGGTGGTGCATGCTTGTAAATCCCAGCACTCTGGGAGGCAGGAGAATTATGGGTTCTAAAATAAGCCTGGGCTATAAAGCATATTCAGACTAGCCCATGTTACAAGTCTCTGATTCAATCTTCCTCTCTAATGTCTTATTTCCATGTAAAATGTTTTATTTCTGTGTAGTTCATACTTTCCTAAGATTTTATTGGGAAAATATAAAGCTTGCCTTTGTAAGACATTAAGTATGATATTCGCATCAAGTAATTATGTAAGATTTCATTTTGACATGTCCATGCATGCAATGTACCTTGATCAAATTTTTCTCCCTCTATACTCTCCCTCAAACTCCATGCTTGTGTCCCCACCCTACTCCCTACCAATTACAACAGGCTTCATTGTTCCACTTTTATACATGACGGGTATTTTTTTTAAGGCAAAATGATTTTCTAAGTTAAAAAATGCAGTTACAGATTTCCATCACTTATAAATTAAAAATCCTAACAGAAAACAGTTCTGTTATACTAGTGAAAGTATTCTCTACTAGTTTTATGTACATTTAAATGACGTACCTCCTGTGATGAGATCATAATAGTAATGGTAACCTTCAGAAGTTATGCCTTCTACCCATCTACCCTTTGAAGGATCTTTTTTCTTCTTTTTCTTCTTTTCTTTCTGTTGATTTGATGAAGAGGTGGGTGGGGTAGTGCTGGCTATTGGTGATTTGCTTGGCTCTGGAATATCTAGAGAAAAGGTGAATGAAATCTGAAGGAGCTAAAGTAACTTTTCTATATGCTGTCACAGAATTTTCGTAATGCTCTTTCAGTCAGGAGCCTCATAATGCCCAATGCTGTGGAGGCACGCCTGTAATCCCAGCTACTTAGAAGGAATATGGGGATGATGCTGAGTTTGAGACCAGCCCACACAATACAGTGAAACTGGGCACCAACCATTCATTGGTAGCTCATACCTGTAATCCTAACTACTCAGGAGACTGAGACCTGAGGATCCAGGTTTGAAGCCAGCTGCCCTTTTACCTGATTCTAAGCCAAGCCTTTTCAAATCCTCCTGGTATGCTTTCAGAGCAGCTGCCTCCATTGCAGCAAACTCCTTTGATGCTTTTTCTTCTTCTTTTGCCTTATCCAGGCTTTTCTGTTTAATCTACATAAGACACATAAAAGTGAAAGTGAGAGAAAGGACTGACTGAAATTATTCAGAACTGTTAATAAAGAACGGAATTTAAACTACCTCACTGATCCTTTTTGCCACATTTTCCTTATGATTCTTTCCTCTTTCATGAAATTCAATGCTCTTGAAAAGGAGAAAAAAAGTAACATTAAATAGCTTAAAATCCACAAAGTAATACAGTAATATATGAGAATGGAACATAAAGAATTAAAATGAAAAATTTGGCAGAAAAGAAATTATTTTTATAGGAACTGAACTACACCCTCAGTAGATTTCTTCTGGTTCTTAAACCATGATGACTATGTTAATGGGATAAAAACACAAGGTATTTTTTAATGCCTAATCTGGTGAATATGATTCTAATAAGACCAAAGAACAGAAATTTTAAAAAATTAAGTAGTTGTACAAAGGAGTGCAATCCATAACTCAGGTTCTAAGCACAATGCTTCTTGGAAAATTTATTTTTAAAGAAACAATTGTGGGGGCTGGGAAGGTATCTCAGTGGTAGAGTGCATGCCTTGCAAGCATGAGGCCCTGGGTTCGATTCCTCAGCACCAAATAAACAGAAAAAGCCGGAAGTGTCCCTGTGGCTCCAGTGGTAGAGCGCTAGCCTTGAGCTTAAGAGCTGAGGGACAGTGCCCAGGCCCAGAGTTCAGGCCCCACGACCAGCAAAAAAAAAAAAATCCCCCACAGTATAACCCCTGCTTTCACTGTAAAAAAAAAAAGAAACAATTGTGAAGATAAAATAAAACCATTTCTAGCTACTCTATAGTGATTGGGAGAATCTTGCTTAAGGTTATCTGGGGAAAAAAGTGAGGAAACTTTTTCTAAAAAATAACTAAAAAAAAAAAAGGGCAAAGATATGGCGTAAGTTTTAGTAGTATAGAACAAATAGCATGAGGTTATAAGTTGAATTCCTTATATTACCAAAAATCCCAAAAACTGGTGCAAAAGAGGGTATCAATATACTGTGTCCTATAACTATATACACATAGGAATAATGGGAGGGTATACAATAAAAAGAAAAGCGAGGGGCTGGGAAGGTGGCTCAGTGGTGGAGTGCTTGCCTTGCATGCATGAGGCCCTGGGTTCAATTCCTCAGCACCTTATAAACAGAAAAAGCCAGAAGTGGTGCTGTGGCTCTACTGGTAGAGTGCTTGCCTTGAGCTGAAGAGCTGAGGGACAGCGCCCAGGCCCAAAGTTCAGGTCCAAGACCGCAAAAAGGAAAAAAAAAAAAAAAAGAAAATCGAACAAGAATAATGGTTACATAGTAGATGGGTCAGGGATGGGCGAGTATTATTACCTATTTAAGCAACCAGAAATTCTCTCTAAATTACAAGTATCTGGCTAATGCAATTAGAAATTCCTGACAAGCTCTGAAAAATAAGTTCTGTCAATCAAATATTATATGATGCATTAACTGAGCTATTCTAAAAATACTACTGTGAATTCCACTTTATCGCTTTTTAAAAGGGACAATCATCTCTATTGCTTATATGTTGTTTCCTAAAGTTAATTACAATCGAACAAAGAATACAATATTAAAGGACTAGCAAAATTAAATTTTGTTTCTAATTAAAGGTTAAAGCAGTGTTTTAGCAATTCAAGGAAGATGAAGAAAGTCTTCACTGGATGGGATTATTTGCCATTGTTAACTCATATTCATTTAATGTCTATATACCTTGAAGGAAGGAGGACTTTTATTAGTGATTTATGTAGTTTTAAGAAACTCTTACCATTTATTGGTGAGGATATCCCAACTAAAATAGTCAAGAACTTCAGCAACTATTCAAAAAGACCAAAACAAAACAGAACCTCCTCCTCCCCTAAACCCTAAAAATTATTTGCTTTTTACTTTTTTTGTCAATTCAGGTCCTTGCAATCTAAAATAAATTGTCTACTAGGGAAATACAGCACAAAGATAGGACTCAAGATTCTTTTTTTTTTTTTGTTGGTTGTGGGATTTGAACTTCTGGGCCTGAGCTCTGTCCCTAGGCTCAAGGCTAGTGCTCTATCACTTGCGCTACAGTGCCACTTCCGTTTTTTTTTTTCTAGTGGTTAGTTGGAGATAGGAGTCTCATGGACTTTCCTGCCCAGGCTGGCTTTGAACCTAGATCCTCAGATCTCAGCCTCCTGAGTAGCTAGGATTACAGGAATGAGCCACCAGAGCCTGGCTAGGACTAGGATTCTTTTGTGTATCTAACTCTACCAAGGAAGGTTATGAATACACAGAGATAATCGAGTTTTGATGTAGTATGTGGCAGTACTATTGATATACATGTGCTTTTTTGCCTTATGTCTTGAATCTAGACTATAAGTGATAAAAGTGCTTCACAGAGTTGCTTTAACAATAATAATGTATTTAACTGAGTTGCTATTTTTTATATATCATGAGTGGGAATAATGTTCTTTAAAAGTCAGCATCAAACATTTTACTTATCTATAGAGGAAACACTACAAATGTTTTTATGTTTTAAGAGCTTTCTTGTTTGTCTCTGTAGGAACAGTATTACAAACAGTACCATTTTAATGTAGATGTTTCACAAACATGGACGAGATTACCCACTCATTGTCCATTTCCTCAAAGGTCACAGAAATAATTTGGCTTTATAGTCAAATTTAAATCCATGAAAAATTCACACAGCTTTCATAAAGGGAATAACAGAAACATTTCAATGTTGTGACGAATCAAAAGCAATGCATATGAAAATCCTTGGTAAACTCTGAACTAAGATTTTAAAGAAGCGACCACTTCACACAAGCACATTATTATTAAGAGTGGGGATGATCATACAGGCCTATTGTCTGCTATCCAGCACTTGCAGTAATCACAGAATTTCTTTGGTTGAGACTTCCAGTAGTCGGCCCTGAAAAAGAGAAAAACAAGTTTTAAGTTTAAAAATCTTAAAAGGTTAGGAAAAAAAAACCCAGCAAAACTCGCATGTTTCCATCTTTATTTTTTCTGAACTATAAGCATTGGCAACTCAAATGTTTTCTTCGTGAAAGCCCCGTTTTATTATTGATGTGACTGAAGCAGTCAAGGGGAAGTCTGTTGCCAGTGGAGGAGAAAAAGTCAGCATAGATTTATTATAAACCGCCTTAAATAAAACAACTAAGGAAATGAACGTCTCAGGGAAGACAAATAATCCATATTTATCCTTTCCATTCCTTTCTGATGCTGCTGTAACCCCGGCCTGCAAAAACTAAGTCTGCCTCAAATCAAGCTATTCCCAGCAGAACGACTAGGCCCAAGACTATTTTGGGTAAAGATCCTGCTTCCTCGGAGGCCGTCAGTCCCAGCAGATTTTTAAGGGTTGGGACGAGCCCAGGGACCTCTCCCACCACCGCCCCAAAGGAGGAAAGCCGTGACGCGACGTGGGGGCTGGCCGTTTGGGGGGGGGAGAAGGAGGGGGGGCCGGGATGGCTTGCAACCCAACCCCGAAGTTTCACAATTCCCCGGGACTCGGGCGCTGCACACACGCGAGGGGCTCCTCGGAGCCCCGCCGACGGCAGGAGCCGAGCGCCGCGACCCCGGGGGCCGCCCGCCCGCCCATCCACCTACCCATCCCGCCCGCAGCCGCCACGCACTGCGGCCTTCCCAGCCCGGACCCTGGGCCGCGCGCGGGCTGCTGCTCGGGCGCCCGCCGAGCCGGCCTGGCGGGTCCCCGGGCGAGTCCCGCTCCGGGCCCCGGTCCCGAGCGAGTTAAGAGCGCGTCCGTCCCGCCCCCGGCCGGAGGAGGGCGGGGGGAGGAGGAGGAGGCCCGCTCCGGGAAACAACTCCTCCTTGTCGAGAGCTCGGGACCCAACTCACATGACCGCGCGGTCGCCCGGGATCCGACCAGCACTCGCGCTCCCCCCGGCCCCAGCGAGCCTAGGCCGGGCACAGCCACCGCGCCGAGGCCCACGCCGAGCCTCCCTCTCCAACCCCGGACGGGGGTGGGGCTGGGGACGGGGTGGGGCAGCGCGGCGTGCCTCCCGGCTACGGGTACCCCGACGGCCCAATCCGCGTTCGCAGCCTCCTCTCCTCCCCTCCCCCGCCGGGGCGGGACTCCGGGCCCCGGGGAGGTGGGGTTGATATAAAGGGGTGGAGGTCAGCGAGACGGGGCGTAAGCGCGACGGGATCTGAGTCGAAGGGCCGGCACCCCTAGTCCTCTCCCGCCCCCCCACCCCCTCGCCGACCCCCCGCCACCCCGCGCTCGCCCGTTCTCTCGGCTGCCCCTGGCATCCAGAACCTTCACTTCTTCTAGGCTCGCTGGCCCCGGGCCGAGGAGTCCGCGCACCGCCTCCGCCCCGAACGCAAACAGCTGTTCCCGGAGACGTCGGCGCCCTCCGCTCGGCCGCCGGCCCGCACGCACGCACGCACGGTGACTAGCGCAGCCGCCCGGACCTGGGGGCGGGAAGCCGGTGGTGGGGTTAAACCCCCAAAAGCAAAACAAAAACAGACAAGAGAGGCAGAGCGGGTGGCGCGCGGCCCGACGAGGCGTGCTGCCCGCTCTCGGAACTTTCCTGCGGCGCGGCCCCGCCCTTTCTCCTCCCCTCCCCGCGTTCCCGCGCGTGGGCGGCGGCGGCGGCGGCGGCGGCTCCAGCGACGGAGAAGCGGCGACGGCGACGGCGGCAGTAGCGGCGGCGGCGGCGGCGGCGGCGGGGGCGAGGGCGAGCGCCGGAGCCGAGGCGGCCGTGGCGTTCACGCTTGTCAGGTGAGCGACGGCGCTGCTCCTCGCGGCACTTCCCATATGGTCTAGCGGTTAGGATTCCTGGTTTTCACCCAGGCGGCCCGGGTTCGACTCCCGGTATGGGAACGTGGTGTGCGCGAGTCCTTTTTTAATTTAAAAAGTCATAGAAGTTGATGTACTTTGTTTTCTCTCTGTCCCGGAGGAGGTGAAATTCTTGGAACACAAGCTTTTATGAAGTTGTTACTGGGTTGGGGGCACCCCCCCCCACCCCCCGCCCTGGGTTGCTGGGGTGCATGGGGCGGGGTAGAACGGGAAGGAGTTTCACCTCGGGTGCTGTTCTCCGCCCCTCCGTTCGGCTCGTAGTTTTCCGAGCGCGGTGGAGAAGCTGAACTCTGTCGGGGCGTTATCTCCTGCCCGGCCCCCCCTCCGGGCCCACACCCTGTTCTTCGGTCCCCTTCTGCGGAGAAGGGGAGGAACTCGGGGTGGGTGCGTCCAGCCCGGGGCGGCCGGCATTCTTCTCCTTATCGGTGCGTCCGTCCGAGAGGAGACCCCTCCTCTTCTCCCCTCCCCTCCTGCACTGCAGGGTGGGGTGGGGGGGTAGGGGGCAGGGCTGGGATGCGGGGAGGGGCGCGATCGCCTGCGAACCCCGCCAGGCCGCGTGCGCCCCACCCGCCCGTGGTGTCAGCCAGCGTGACACTGATCAGCGTGTCTCTGATCGCTCTCCGAAAGTACCCCGGCCTCGGAGGCTATAACCCCCCCCCCCCCCAGAAAAAAAAAACCAAAAAAAAAAAAAACCCACCGCACATTAACCTCCGGCTTCGAAAACGCATGACTTGTTGCGGAGAAGAAAAACAGCTCTGTGCTGAGCTGTCTCTCCAGAAGAAAACTGACTTCCCTAAAGGCTGTTGGAGCGCCCGCTTGGATTAAAAAGTCCTGGGGTGGGGGTGGAGCTTGGGAGAGAAAATTGGCCCGCGACTGAGGAGGGGATGTTATAACAAAGTTTCACTGTATTTTTAAATATAGAAGCCCTGTGTTTATTACAAAGAAGGGGCAGCTGTGTCAGCAGCATGTGAGCTGTAAATGAAACAAAAGCGTTATCTTAAATGCATGTTGAAATTAGAAAATAGGGGCAGCTATAATGTTGAGTCTATTGGGCCTCAGGGAACAAATAAAGAAGGAAAAAGTGACTTCTGTGGATGAGTTTCTGGTCAGCAGAGCTCTTACTGAGAGCACGAGTTTTGATTGTTAGTATGTGTGTTCCCAAACTTTTTTTTTTTAATTGCTTTAACTGCACGGTTAAGTTTGAAAATAATCTGATGTGTTCTGTATGATTAAAGATTAATTTGCTTTACGCTGTGTTTCTTTAAACTGTCACAACTCAAAACTCTTTTTCACCATCTTTATTCATTTAAATATTTGAGTGTTTACTCACCCAGGCCCCACCAGATGCTTTTGAAGTTACTAATGTTCAGATTCTTCATATCAGCTGGTAGAACATTAAATAGAGTCACTTTCTGGTTCTGAAAAGCATTGTGACCTTGTGGAGGTCTTTCACTGTCTCAGTACTCTTGGCTTTAGAACCGTAAGTTCTTCTAGTACGAATTACTCACACACTTTACATGGGATTGCAAGCATTGTTGACTAGTTCTTGAATAGGTAATGAGTGGAAAAGTTCCATTTGAGACTTCAGTGTTGTGTATTGTGTTATTGAGACCTAGTTACTAAAGAATTAGGTCTGAATTTGGAAGAAATGATATCTCCTTCTGCCTTGTCTCCAGAGAGGACTTAATGTTTGTAATGACTTGGATCAAGTGGTACTAAAATGGATGCTAAAGTGAGCACTCAATGGCTGCTATTAGTTGTACGCTATTCTTGGGGTAAGCTGAGGGGAGTGGTTGGATGACAACATCCTTGTCCAAGACAGACACGTCTTATGTACTGTTATGGGTGAAACATTGAAGTGAGTAATCAGTTGTGCTCAGGGACGTGGACTGGAGAAGAGATGTAGAAGAGAGAGAGAGAGAGAGTGTTTGCCCTGGACCTTGAAGAACTGGTTAGGTTTCTCCTGGTGGGGAATGTGAGTCATAAATCTCAGGTGGAGGGGAACACATACCAGGCTAGCAGGTAGTCTGTTTTGTCAGCACGGAGTGCCTGAAGGGAGAGCAGTTGGAGATCAAGTTGGGGAGGTAGCGAGGAATTTTGCTAGACACCAAGTTATTTTTTCCGGGACTGACTTCTTATGTTGTTTGAATTTTAAAACTTCTTTTTCCCCTTCTTTTCTTTTCTCGCCCTGCCCCCTCTTTTGCTTTTTGTCTGTCTCTTTTTTCAAGACTGGACCTCACTATGTACCCAGAGTTGTCATCCTCCTGCCTCCTGCCTTAAGCACTGGGATTTCAGGAGTACACTTAGGATGACCCCAGCTTTGACTTTTTGAAAAGCCTGAGTGTAGAAGTAATGTGTGAAAAAGTCTTCTTTAAAAAATTCAAGGGCTGGGGGTATGGCTCAAGTGGTGTAAGACCTGCCTAGTGAGCCTGAGACCCTTAAAATAGAAACCTGGTACCACCAAAGGGGTGGGCATTAGATTGAAGAGTCAAACTACCCATTTGTTGAAACATGTAGGGTATTTTATACTTGTAAACCCTCCCCCCCTTTTCTTTCTCTTTTTTCTCTCTTCTTCTTCTTCTTCTTCTTCTTCTTCTTCTTCTTCTTCTTCTTCTTCTTCTTCTTCTTCTTCTTCTTCTTCTTCTCCTTCCTCCTTCCTCCTTCCTCCCTCCTCCTCCTCCTCCTCCTCCTCCTCCTCCTCCTCCTCCTCCTCTTCTTCTTCTGTGTGTGTGTGTGTCTGTCTGTCTGTCTGTCTGTCCGTCCTGGTGCTTGAACTTAGGGTATAGGGGCTATCCCTGAGCTTTTTTGCTTAAGGCTTTTTTGCTTAGAGCCACATCTCCACTTACAGATTTTTTTGGTGCTTACTTGGAGGTAAGCAGTCTCATGAGCTTTACTCACAATCACTGTCCTCAGATCTCAGCCTCCTGAATAGTTAAGATTGCAGGTATGAGTCACTGATACCTGGCTAACCTTTCCTTTTTTAAGTAACATGTGCATTATAGGAAACAAACACAAGACGCAAAGAACAGAGTCATCCATGCCATAAGCAATTCTGTTGGATAAGGGTCTAGATTCCCCTAATACACATCAGTCCCTTTTAGGTAACTGGGATTATTTGGTATGTGGTATGCTTTTCCAAATGTTGTGAATAGTCATCAATTCAAAATCCCAAACCTATGTGAATATTTTCATGTCTGAAAATATACCACACCAGAGTTGAATATTTACAATTAATAGAGAAAAGCAATCAGAATCGAGTTTATGAGAATGAAGTCTAGTTTTCTTTTTCAGATGAGCTTATATTAGTTATGAAGGGAGGTTCATTGTTAACATCCCTATACATGTTTATACTGTATTCCAAACAACCTCATTCCCTGAGGGGACCTGGGGCTTGAACTCAGGGCCTCAGCTTCAAGGCCTAGGCGCTTTAGTACTTGAGCCACAGCACCACTTCTGATGTTTTGGTGGTTAGTTGGAGATATGAGGCGCATGGACTCTCCTCCTCTGCTGGCTTCGAACCACTATACTCAGATCACAATCTCTGAGTAGCTAGGATTACAGGTGTGAGCCACCAGCGCCCCGTCTATGGCTATTATCTTATTGGCTTGCTTTTTTGAAATATGACCTTGATATTCTAATATAGCTGCAAATTGTCAGTGAATTACATTTATTAAGTTGGTGAGAGTTCATTCATGTGCTTAAGCCTTTTTATCAGAACACTACCAACAGCTGTGTTTGAGGGGTCTTCTGTTAGCCTACTAAATAGTGATACTAATTGAATGGTGATGATTTACCCAAATGGTCTGCAGTGTTTGCTAGGTGTAATGTTGTCAGGTATAATCAGGAAATATTTGGCATTATAATATTTTAGGTCAAAACAAAACACCCTAAAACTATACCAGGGTTTCTGTTTATGTGCCCTCTACTTAGCTCCCCAAATTTACCTACTCGTTTTGCTTTAATTATGGTTCAACTATATGTTGGCTCCCTTTTTTTAAAATAATTTTTTTCTTGTTATTATAAAGGTGCTATATAGAGGGGTTATAGTTACACAATCAAGTAATGAGTACATTTCTTTTATTCTGGATTTATCTTATTTATTTAATTAATTTCTTATTTTTTTTGTCAGTCGTGGGGCTTGAACTCTGTCTGAGCCTGGGT